TTACGATCGTGCCGCGAAGAGGTCATCGAACGTAGAACAAAACGCAATCGCCGCCGCCACAAGGTTCCTGTTCTCGGAGACGAAAAACGACAGGCGATTCGGAGTGTATGGGGGAAAAAGGAACTGACGGTGCGTTCACGTTATTAGATGGGTGTCCAGGACCTTGGGAACTTCCGTCTCCGTTTTATCCACCGAAGATGCTGGACCCAAGCTAATCATTTAAATTTGCATGTAAAATGACCTGTATATCAACAGTACAAATACTAATATGATATTTATATTATAACTAACCTGCGCCTTTTTGGAAAAAGTATCCCAATGATTTCCCAGCATCGAAACTAATTTCATTGGCGGTCGAGCAGAGAATCACAGTCCACACCCGAGAACCTCAACTATCTGAATAATATTCATAGAAACTTGTTATTAGTTTCATTATTAGTTTACATTCAGCATAGAAATTCGTTTTTATGAACTAATGACGTCAAGTTCGACCATCAAGCAAACATGTAAATCCGTCGATAATTGCATTGTTATACATTTGATGTACTGGTTATGTTAATCAATTACAATTGTAACGTTATGTCACACTCAGAAACCGATGATGAACGAATTGATCTCCGTTTAACTATAATATTTATGTTTTACTTCTCGATCGATCGCGTATATTGTGTTTCGTGAATGCGATACGAAAGATTCTGGGATCCTTGAGGCTTTCACCGTAGCCACGAGGTTAGCATTGCTCGTGGCTTCCGGATTTCGACCCGCGTCCTCTAGAAAAAAGAAAGAAAACGATTCCAACGTTTTCCCAATGTCACCGATTTGTTTGATTTCTGTGGAAGCTGCGCGCGACGAAAGCATTCCTAAAAGAGGGCGCACACTTTGGCAATATTAAAAGTTATAACACGCTCGCGCGCGGAAGCACGTTAAAACAACTTGTGAAACGTCGACGAGCAGTGATTTGTATTGTTTTCATTGACCCTACCCATGGTCGTCGTTTTATCGCTCGTTATCCCCCTTGCATACATTCGCTCAAGATATAAACACCTTCGATCGATGATCGTTTGTTCGTGCGAAAAGGAGAAAAAAGTCTCGTAGGCGAAGTGTTTACTGTTCGTACCGATGCGTCGTGAATTTTTGAGGAGGCGTCTCGAAGATTGTTACCCGGAAAGAAATCTCTATTGAAACATTACTTGACATTATTTTTTTGTTTCGAGCTCGTCGTTCGAATTCGACGACTCGAGTCCAGCGTGCCATTGATGAAGTTTAGTATTCCGTTTCATTTAACCCTGCTGTCCTCGTCGGATCTATATGACTCGAAATGAAGATTATATTTCGATAGATGTTATGTTCTTAAGTATTTCATTTTAGTATCCAATGTACTTACATTTTACGTCTACTTCTTGTGTATTTCCCATTATTTGCAAGTTCGAAATAATTTTATACTACCGTGGATGTTATATGGAGCAACATTAGAAATTTTATCATTTAACAAATCAAAGACCGATTTCTTAACCTTCTACAAGAATAAATGCCACTTGAATATGGATGAGGTAACAGATTGATCGATAAAGAAAATTCGTACTTCCAAACGGTAAATTTGAATGTAAACATTCAACGCTTGAACGAACTAAGTTGTCCACTTCATGAATATTAAAGCAACGTCACACGCACGAGTATTTTAAAATATGTCTCAAACGATAAGCGAGTGTTGCACGTCGTGCGTGACAAAACGATGCCCCGGTGGTTGCTCAACGTTTGTCCGTCCGACCAAAAATCATGAATTGATCGTGTTTCCTCGTGAGCCTATCGGTTCCGCCACGTGCGGGCCACGACTCGATTTTTCACGCGAATGTAAACAAAACATGCCGGAAATCAAGATGATCGTCGAGTAAAACGGTGTGTACGCAATACATAAACGGCAATGACTATTATGTATCTCGTTCGTCAGCGAACATACGATCGTCGACCAAGGCGTAGCGTCGCAAAAACGGCGCTGCGGACCAAAACATTGCGCCTCGCGTCGCTGGCCGCCTAATCGACAGTTAACATTTATTATCTTGGCCGATTTGTACTTTAGCATAAACCGATCGATGGTTTTATTACTGTTCCGCGATTTCAACGGTTTACCATGAATAATTCACTATTGACCCGACGAACGACGTAGTCGTTACAAGCGCAAACCTATCTGGTGTACGGGTTAAAGTCTCTACGTCACGGAAGACCAACGACGATTCCGAAATACGACGAGAGGCAGACTTTGCTCAATGAACACTGCGTCCGTCGATCGTTACGCAACCGATACCACGCAAATATTTTTCACGTGGATGTAATCTGGCTATCGGTGGCTGCCCGTGGAAAATTCAAATCAAACACGACGCCCGGCAACTTCGTTACTTGCACTGCTCATTAGACGTTTCCGCGACATCGTTATTCAGAGACCTCTAATCAGTACGAAACTGTTAGAAAAAAAAATTTCCTGGAAACGAGACGTCAGTGAAGTCGAACGATTGTTATAATGTTATATTATCGAGCGTCCGAAAGGCGCTTCTGGATAATGATTAAAGTAGAATGTATACGTTTTGTGTTCCGTGACACGCGAGGTATATTTAGGGGATGAGTTGACGAGTTAGCGCTCTATGATGATGTCTCGTGAATATATTGTACAATGTGGTCCGTTAATGAAGACAATCTGTTTTTGAATACTCGATAGAGGCAAAATAAACTTTATTCTTTTTTTATAATAATAACGTTAAAATTATATACAACGTTTAACACATTTATGCTAATAGCGTGACAGAAATAGACTGTATGCTGTAATAAGAAACCTATAAATCAATTTGCCGACATTTTTGTTTTATGTATGTTCCTTTTTTACATATGTATATACGACAGATTTTAATCTCATTACTTCAGGTAATATATCATTTCAATGTATTAACCGTTTTATGGTAAAATTGATATCTTCTCTGTTAAATTATATACTAGTCTTTGTTGGCATTCTTGTCTCTTAAACATTGTTATGACAACCACTATGGTTGTATGCTTTTATCTCCGTAATCTACCGCTGAATCTGTATTCAAATCGTCGAATTGTGGACATTTTTGTCCTTTTTGTCTAACTTATAGCCCGCGTGCAATGCTGCTTGTTCTGACCTGTAATTCCATTTCGGAACACAATCCGTTTGTACATATAGAGGGTTAAACGCAGTAACATAAGTTACCACGAAAATATATTCAATTTGTGCTTCTTTCGAAGATTTTTTTAAACAGATTCTGAACATACTAAACGACTATCAGAAGAAATAGTGTATTTGCAAAAAGACTTTGGCTGCACTAAAGAAACTGAATCTGTGGGTAGTTAAGACGTCATGTCCAGAGATGGGCAAATCCAGTATTTAGATAAACAGTTTCGAATAACGAATAAAAGTTGAAAAAATCTACTTCGTCATTTTTAATTGATTGTACCCAGGATATTCAAATTTGTACAATAAAATATGAGTAGACACTTGGCGAATGGTTATTTAATCTTATTAACTGTTTGAAGGTCAGCATGACGATCTTATATACTGCTACTTTTCACTACGTATTATTCGAATAAAATCCTACCGAACTCTGATCGTATCCCAACAACCAATCGAAGGTCGACTCGCGACTCGTCCCGAGTACCCTGTTTACAGTTCATTGACGGTATCAAAGTACTTGCTCAAGGTCGCCGGCAAAATCGAACAGCTCGCGCAATTATCACAAGGTCATGAAGATCAATGAGAAACCATTTATACGCGTGCACCGATATAAGAAAGGTGATCGGTTTCGAACACCTCTCGCGAAGGTAAGCAAGTCCCCGGTCACCGAAACGCCAAGCACTCATCATTCGGAGACAAGGTCGAACCGGACAGACGCTCGATACAAGACTCGTTTCATCGTTTCTGAACGAATTTATCCCTTAATCGTGCAACGTGCATTACGAAACACCCTGTGCAACCAGGTAAACGGTAGTCCTCGACCGCATCTTAATTGCTCTCGCGATTCAAACACGCAATCGTCGTGCTTTTTATCGTGTATAAATATGTTACAAGGAGATCACGTGTAACATTACGATTCGACTTTAATGGAAATTCGGAGGTAAGACAACAGAGGATGGTTGACCAGTGTACTATCCAATAGTAATCGTTCTGTATCCCTCTCGACTCATAATTAAATCAAGGTAAACAGTTTAGTGGTTGACAAAGTTTCGCAATCGATCGGTCTCGATTTTCGCTGTAAGTACCACACGATCCGATATTGTTTATCCACGTAAATGGCCGAACGTGACACTTGCCGTAATCACCCTCCGACTACTGTTTATTGAAGTCCTGATATCACCGAGAATTCCCGTATCCTAAACGTCCCTTTCTTCTAACCACATTGAACCAACGATATCACCGTCCAAGTACCGCAAGATATCACAGGAAAAGTATCGTTGAATCGACCGAAAACCACGAAATTATCACTCTCGACTACAAATGCCTCGCACTGTATATTTTCAGTCTACAGCCTTAAGAAACGACTAACTGTAAGGGGAGTCCTCGTCGAAGATCACGAAAGATTTTCGACGCACGAAACTGACCAATCACATGGTGGCGTGGCGCCGATTCGCTAGTGTTATGCGTGACTCGAATACGAACAAACAAAAACGATCGGTGTCCCATTGCCAGATATACGAGAACGCGTCACACGTCGGTCCTGTTGGTTGAATGAATCGCGAAATTTTTCGTCCGAAAACCCGGCGATGACACGGGCAACCCCGCCGCGGGTCGACCCTTGAACGATCGAGAACGATCGACGGCGGGAGAACGAAGGCGTCACAGAGTAGGCCCCTGTGGAGGGAGGATGGTGGGGCCGGTGTTGTACCCCACAACACCACCGGCGAGCAACGTGCAGGCACAGGTGTCATGGGCTTATGCCGATATAAAACACGGTATTCATTCCGGGGGCTTCAGTTTCCTCGAAGGTGGTCAAGCACGAACGTGCTCTCCTCGGCGCTGGACAACACACAGACCGGACCAAGAAGTCCTCCCCCTCTCCTCCCTCACAGTGGTGATCGATAGTCTCACGGAACCAGGATTGATTACGATTTCGAAAGTGATCCGCCGATTCTGAGGAAGACAGTGCCCTTCGATTTTCACGGTGAGTAGAGTCGTACAACGTGTTCGTTGGTTTATAACGCCGCCTGTGAACCAACCAGTGATTTTGTTCGTCGATTTGTGTGATTACAAAGACTGAAAATCGAATTTTGTAGACGTTGCTCTCGGTTGACTGTCAGGTGTCGGAGCTGATATAGGAGTTCGATTTTAGACGCGATAGTAATGAGACATGTTCGGTTGTACGTCGAATTTCTATTTATTGTGGGATCTTGGAAATGGATTTTTATTTATAAAAATTTTCTTGTACTAGTTTTAGAAAACCGCTCAAATTATTCTGTAATCATCCATTAGCTTCTTGGCAGTTTCGGAATAGTTCAAAGTCGTTTTTAGATTCTGTGTTTTCAATATTTCCAATGTAAACAATAAAATTAGTGAAGTATTTTATTTTATATCTACTTAGTTTCAGTAAATTGGCTTATGGAAAAATGTAAGTTTGCATGCACGGTTCACGTTTAGTTCTCGATTTGGGAAAGGAAACATTTTTGAAAAAATACGATACGGGTATAAGAAAACGAAAGATACATAATAGCGAAGATTAAAAAGAACAAAGGAAACTTATATTCACCGTTACTAAATTTTTCATATAAATTCACATTTACAACACAACTTTTTATCTAATCACTAAATATCTTTGATCTTGTATTACAGTATTATTCAGAAACAAGATTCCATCCGTACTAACTTCGTAATTGGTATCGATGAACATGAAATTGCAAACACTGTATCTTTTTTAATTCTCCGGAGTAAAAACAAGAAACATCTGTAACAGATGCAATGAGATGGAGTGCATTTTAAACCTCTCTAACGTGTAATATATATATTCAAAGAAAATGCGGAGCGACGATAAAAACTTACATAAGAAATTGCAGAATCTTACGCGAGACTGTTTAACACACGACGGAATGTGTATGTTTGCCAAATTTAGTCGTAACGAAAGAGAATTAGCAAGGTCGTGTTTGAGCTCTGTCGGACGAAGACGACTCGGCGAATAAAAAAAAAACACAAAATTGCAGAATTTTTTTCGGTTGTTTATCCTAAGGACTGCAAGTAAAATTAATATCATTTCTTTTTATTGATTTCATTTTTAAAGAAAGTATGTTGTTTCGAAATTGTTTTTTGAGCTTACAAATAGAAAATGTTTGACCAAGAAGAGTGTAAAACCGAAATAAGCACATTGCAGATTGCATAAAATCCTAATTACCTTTAAATGGCGAAAAAATTATCATAATCGAAACAAAATGTCTTATATCATCGCTGTTCAGTCCAATAACCTTTGTCAACCATGTTACGACTGAAGATTCCCGATTCAAAATCGCCTTACTACATTTTCATTGTATCTGATTAAAGCAATTAAGCGTCACGCGCAGTCTGCTGCGATTCTCTTCCGAGCGTACACTTATCCCGGATCTAACGATCGATTCTTTTCGATGGGATGTCTTATGCAATGGACATCGTCAATGAAAGTCACGATTTAATTGCGGGATTTCTTTGAACGTGCACCAGGCACGATTTATGCCTATTCGGCCTTCTTCAAAGAACTTTATGTGATAGTTCCACTGCATATTTCTTATTTGACAATTCTGAAAAATTATCTCGGATTATTTTCGTATAAAATACATTAACCCTGAAACTGTTTGACACGCGATTCTTAACTTCCTATGAACTTTCAAGGTTTCCAATCAATCTGCCTCCGGCCATTTCCAGAGTGTGGACACATTTCTCTCAAATTGGACGAAAAAGTAGATAATAATTGTTTCGTCATAATATCACAAATCAAAGAAATACTTTGAACACTCCATAGCCCTCTCTTCATTTGTATTTTTCGTTGATAAGGTTTCATTAGCGGTAGCTACTTGCTGAAAGTGTAATTAACAGAACTGAAAAATGTATTGTTGCTAAGGAAAGTCACATTGAATACACTATGCTAGTGCTACAATGTGTTCGAGGTATTTCTTTTGTTCCAGACTGTGCGACCTTGCAGGTCACTGTGTCTGACACCGTTGAATTCGCCTTTACAGTCGCTTTCGTGCAATGTGAAAGACATTTTCTACAATTAAAAAGGTTACATGTCACCTTCGTTATTCGAAAACTATCGCCAACTTAAAATAGATGTAATCCATCGTTTTACCGATTAATAAGAACAACGAAACATTTCCTACTTCCATTTTGTTTGTATTATATACTTACCATTTACGACAAATTTGGCTAATGATAATGTGAACACCCTGTAGGCAAGGAATTCTACTGAATGACTCATCAAAATATAATTTCCATTAACGGCTAAAATTTCATTGCCGTTACCTTTATTTCGCTTGCTCTGACACAATTTCAGGATCGTATAACAAATGTTCTTGTGCCATAAGACCATGAAGTTTATCCGAACACTGCGTCAGAAGCATAATTCCCTGGCGTGCATTCTAAACTTTCCATCAGAATTCCATAATTTCCACGGTGACGCAATTCGCAAGAACACAAAGAAGGGATCACTATCCACACAATGACTCGATCACCGTCCGGTCGATTATGATCAAAGTGCAAGTTCACCGATTGTTGATCGTCTGTAGCATATTTGGGCACAAGTGAACCAAATGGTGGACGAAAAATTTTTAGTCACCTAGTTCTGATTCCATCAGCGACTCAAAATCATTGAGAATTTGAATTTTTGATTTTGATTTGGAGTGTTGTACATCTACACCGACTAATGAAACATTCTTTAATGTCATACAGAAAGTTATAAGGAAAAGCATCTTCATTCAGTATTGCCGAGTCACTTTTAATTAATGTCCCATTAAGTCACGGAGTCTCCAAATTGAAAGGAACCAATTTATTCTCTGACAGTTCGAGACCTTCTCAATTTATGCAGATTTCCGTTTGGCATAATTTACAGTTCGTAATTGCTGATGAGTAGACTGCGGATTTTTATGCAAAATCACATTTTAGAGGGTTGTTCATAAAGACAAAAAGAAAAAGAAAAATTTCTTTCTTCTCCTGAATATCTTATTGGGGTCAAAAGAAAATAGAAAAACTCGTTGCAAATGACGAAAGTTTTGTCGTTCCTTGTATTTCACAGAGACCTATAGACTATAAATGCATATAATCCGCAACCTACTGATGAGTTAATATCACAGTTCATGTATTAAATCTTAAATTGGTATAGTTTTCTTGCGAAAGACGTGGTACGTAAAATGGTTCCACTGAAGAAGCTTCTACTATAAAAAGAAGGAAAACACTAAAATCTCCCTACTTTAACGGAACAAATCTAGATTCGTTTAATGTTTGTCCCTGTACAAATAACCCGAAAAATGTGATTTTGCGAAAAGCTTAACAATATAATAATGTTAATTTTCAAAATTACTTCCCTTTTTAAAACGAAAGTTCAATAGTATGAAACCACTACATTCCGAGTTCTACGATCAGTTACGGTAAACCACGTAGACACATACATCCAATGAAAGTTTTACACATCTCGTCCCCCAATTTAGCGACCGTTTCGTTCGGAATCGCCAATAGGCTTCGGTAGGACGGTGACAAAGGCGCGGTTCACTTGCGTTAGACGATAGTATACACGCACTGCGAAGATGCACCTGACCGGCCAGCAAATGGCGCTTAACAAGCGAATCATCATGGTGGTGGGCTACAGAGGCAACCGATTCCAATTTCATTACGCGACGCCTGTACCGCGCATCCTTGCGTACCACGCGGCTTTACATTGCAAAAATCCATCTCCTAAGACGGGCTGTTTCGCGCGTGCCTTCTCTATCGCTCCTCCTACTCGTTCGTCCGCGGTGATTTGAATGCGCGCGTTACGCGGTTTGCGGAAACAGAGATAATAAATGTGACAATAAGGGGACGATATACGAGTCATTTCCTCCCGATGGACCTTGTCGATGATCGTGGCTGGATCCACAGCGAATTCCGAATGGCCTATTTAACGAATTGTGAACGGTTAATAATGATACTGATTGGTAGATTGCAGATTTCATGTAGATTGTTAACCAAGTTCTGTGGATTTTTTTTAAGAAGTTGGGAGATTTATGATACTTATGATTAAGCCGCCTGCATAATTAAAGGCCTAATGGTATCATTAATTCCAACACGGTTCTTATTTTATTTCAGACCCGATGGAATCTTGTCTTCTTTTTGTGAATGGTTGTTTTTGTCTCGAGTTTCCGTAAATGAATTTTAAAAACACGATATTTGTATAAATATCCGCAGTTTACTGATCAGTAATGTCCATTCGATGATACCGTGTGTTGCTCGGCGATAAATAAGTTCAGATCAGCAATTACCTATAGGATTAAGATTAACATACTGATTAAGAAATTACGATCTCAGAACGCACGTACTATAAGCTAGATCTCGATGATCTCACGCGTTGGGAGAAGAGTCGAAGATGCTAATGAACGAAAAATGGAAATACAAAGAAAAACCCGTTTTCTAGGGAATAACCGATGTTAACAATCGATCCGTGAGCTCCTGGAAGCATTGCTTCCTCGAACTTGCTTCCTCGTTGAACTTTGAGTCTATCGACACAACTTCTACAACCGCTGCGTTTTACGATCCACTTCCGGGCGTTGTTTTTTTTCCCTGCACAGTTAACATCGTCCGTGTTCGTTATAAATCACTCATTCGGTTCGACTCTATTGTCTCCTTTCGAGTCGATCCTTCTGTAATATATTGCCAGTAGAAGTAGCCTGTCGGGATTTTACAAGGCGGCCTCTGTTCATAATTCTTAATCGATGATTTATGAAGGATTAGCAACGACTAATAATAAGATACATGATTCGAACTCATGTCTCAATTATCCGCGAATCCTTTGATTAGCGGAAAATTCCGATGATGTTCGTTCGAAGAGCGACGTTACAAAATTTTGAGACTATATTATATCAGAGACACGAAAGCGGTCAAAAAGTTTTTTTTCATTCCGTGGTTGCAGCAGCCAGCGAGTTACGGAGATGCGAACAGAATTCGAAAACGGAGTCGCACGAGCCACCGGGGGAACCTCTTGTGAAACAAAGAGCAACGTGGAGTCACGTTCTGGGTGATATTAAATCACGATCGGAAATTTCTATTCCGATCAGCGGCTGGGAATTATGGGGATAAAGAGAATTACAAAATGAAATCGTAAATTTCGGATGCATCAGCTGGTTGGGAAACAAAAAGATGATTGTTTGAACGTCCGGCGCGTACGCAATTACCTCGTGATCTCTGAGCCTCGTACAACGACTCCCGCAAGATCGGCGTGTCTGCTAAAAAAATCGATGGCATTGATCTTCGTGCACGACTAGGAATCTTTTCCCACGTAAACTTATATTCTCTCGAAGTTGATACAAATATCATGAAACTATAAGAAGAGCAGTTTTACAAGAAACGACAAAACAAGGAATCTATTAAAATTCTTGTAGTCTATCGTGGAACTTCTTTTCGTAGATCGTAGAAATTCGGTAATGGTTACTTTGTGTTCCTACCTCTTCACTTTGTGTCTTTACCTGTCCCACACACGTCAAATTTGCCAACTGATATACGAATAGTGAGTGCAAATGTACAGTATTTACTGAAATTCGGTCCCAAGTAAATTGTCATATCGTACACGTTAGATAACCATGTGACGCTCGAGTCCAAAGTTTTCAGGATACTAAATCAATCGTTACAAACAGAATATTTCGATATAGATAACCCACAGATGAATTATCAAGGCATTCAAAATCACAAACGAAGGACGTTACGGGGTTATCGGACGCCGAGGAAACTAAGTACATACATCGCGATCCTACCTTGCCCGTGCAACTAGTTACGCGAGATCTTTATAGATTGAGAACCGGTTAAAAAAATCACAGGCATTGATCTCCAGAGCGTCGATGGAATTTCTATTCCAGGGGACCAGTCGTGGACGAGTAAACAGGATTACATGTTTTAGTGGCCGAGATCGAACCCGTTCGGTATGATTTTTCCTTGGCGGGAACGAGTACCATGGGCAGGCAGTAGCTGCACCATTTTGCGAGGGTGAAGCTGCTTTTTCATCTTGGGAAAATCGTCGACTGTCGAATCGGTTAACGGTCCGCGAACTAGTTTTACGTAAGACAAAAGCGAGACGGATCAAAACGATTAGTAATGATTAATAACAGTGTTCAACAAGTCCCAAAAATTATGGATTCTGATTCGCTGACGACGAAAGGGAAACAGGGTCCGTGAACCGGAGTGAAACTACCGGTGTCGTGTTGCCCGAGTAATAAGTGTGGGTGAACTGATCTTTCGAGAAAACATTAACGTAACGCTCTTGGAAAAAGTTGTCTAACGGGAAATACCGCATAGCTGACTTCGAAAAGGTCTGTCGTTTTTCTTTCATGCACTAAAATAGAGATACCTTAAACTTTAAACGTTTTTTTTTTCTTTATAATGAACAAACTTGAAAAGTCTCCACGGTTTCCTATGATATTGATTTAGCCATACCAACAGGAAAGTCATTTTAAACTGTTGACCGATTAAAACAGGATTAAAAAGCAGAGTTGGGCAGAATTTTATTTGCATAAGACATAGTGAAACAGTAACAAAATCGTCTAAAATTGATATCCTAATGTAATAGTTACTAAGATTAAATAATTGTTTGCAAGTGTCTACTTATTCAAGAAAAAATATTATTTTATTATAAAAATTTGAATTTCCAAGTTTAATCGATTGGAAATGGGGAAGTACATTTTCATCTTTTACTTGTTATTCCAAACTCTTTAACTATATAAGAATATTGCCTATCTCTGAGTAAAAGTAGTATAACGCGATTAAACGAATGCGAAATATCGAGGAAAATTACTTGGCAGAAGAAGAAATCATAGTAACGTTACGGACGGATAATTTATTCAATTCATTCGAATATTCTAATTCCGAACAGATTGATTCTAATCGGCGTCGACGAAAATAGTAACGCTTGTCTATCCGACAGCGATTTAAACGAATCAATGTTCGGAGATCAACGACCGAGTACCCTTGAAGTCACAGTGTGACCAAGAAATATAGAGTACTCAGAACTTAGATAATACATCACGATTGTATTAAAATCACTCGACATTTACTTTCGTATGCGACACGATGCCTATGCCAGTAAATACCGGTAGATTTTCAGTTTCGCCAACAAATAATTCGCAAATGCTTTATTTTTACGAATGACATCGTAAAGATTCAAGACACAACAATAAATACTATTTCATCGGTAGCTTCCAATGAAAGAGGTACTCGCGGGGAAAAAACAGGCTTGTTCAAATCATTAATGTCAACGAAACTGTTCGTTCCGTGGTACATCATGGACTATGTAGCGTCTTCCAAGTAATTTGCATCGGCAATCATTGCAGTTCCAAGGCCGGAAAACATTTTTTAACTGAACAATCCACGTATTTCGTCCTAACGAACGCCAGGATTTTAAGTATTGTCGTTCGTTCGTTCGTTCGTTCGTTCTACGAATTACACATATGCACGTACTTACGCCGGGACCCGCTAACGAATCGATTCCGTCTTTGGTTCCTTCGCGTTTCGCAACATTTCACGTGGCCGCCTCGATGTCCTTTCGCGTCGAATACGTAATTTGCATTAACATTTTTATGCTATTCGCTAAACACACACTGAACAATCTTATCCGACTGTTTAATTCGATTTCAAAGATATTCGAACCTTGGACAATTTATCGCAATGTTCCGAGCACTCGGAAACATTGAGTACTTAACAAATAAAATGGAAATATATTTGAATATCGATCGTTTCCAGAGAAAAAAGTGCATTTCGTTTATACGCGTTAGGTAATTCGATTCCAATGGAGGTTACATGTAAGATTGGGTATTATATTCGTTACTTATTCAGTAGATAGTCGAAATTACTATGTTATTGGCGGGAAGAAGTAGCGTAGTTGAAGGGTTGCATACTACTTGGTAAATTTATTTCAAGTACTGAAATTAATGTTAAACCGAATGTTAATTTGTCTCGATACCGAGTGATAGGAGGCCCATTCCCTACGTCACTTTTTCCCCTAACGTAAGTTGAGTATGCTCTTGAGAGTATGTCTGTCAGTCTACGGTTTCCTTGTCTCCCAATACGCAGAATCTTGACCAAATTCGTGTTTGTTTACGAAAACCAGCGGGTCGATGAAATTGCCAAGCCGACACGTGATTTCGGCGTATAAGGCGAAGTTTTCACGAGACGCACCGTCACGTACGAGGCGCGCGTGCCCCGGCCAAACGATCCGCGCGTGTCACGAGATTGACAGATCGGGCGACACCAGACGAGAGGTGTCAACGACGGTGTATAATTTCGATGGTCGATAGAAATTTTCAACGAGGGAATTTCTGACCCCGTCCGATTCGGTATTCGCGCGTCTCTTCGCGCACTATATTCGAGAAAATTTCGTCAGTGAAAGTGGGAGAACTGCGAAGCGAAATTTCGTCACGCTGGATATACGGGGCGATCCATAGATCCCCAGACGGTCGTCCGCCTCAGAGGAATCGCGACTCGCAGAGTACAATAATGCTCGTTCAAGAGTTCGAATTTTTGTCCACTTCAACGCCCGCCCCTGTCCCCGCCAGCTCTTGGAACTGGGTTCTCGACGAATTCTGGTCACATCTACCACCCACATAAGTATCCAGATAAGACCCCAGGCCCCGAAAGCTTAAGAGGATACTTACTGTATACTTTACTAAGGATGGCAATTATTCCGTTCAATTCCAGATGGCGCAGGTCATACAGAGAATATACGATGGCTACAGAGATCTCATGGACAACAAGAGTGACCCGAGGGTGAACGACTGGATGCTGATGAGCAGCCCGTTCCCCACTCTGGCCATCTGTCTCTCCTACGTTTATTTCGTGAAAGTGTTGGGTCCCAAGCTGATGGAGAATCGGAAACCTTTTGATCTCAGGAGAGTGATGATATTCTACAACCTCTTCCAAGTGATCTTCTCCACGTGGCTGTTCACCGAGGTAAGCGAACTTAGTCGACGAGGTTGAACGTCCTCCGTTTTGGTTCAAAAAAGATCTGTGATTCGAGACTCTGTTGCGTCGTCGACCATGAGGAACTTAAGATCCTGGACAGAAAAAGAATTTATCGTTCCTTCTTTGTCCGCCGTAGTCCTTGGTGTCCGGATGGGGAGGTCAATATTCGTTCCGTTGCCAACCGGTGGACTACTCGAACAATCCGCTGGCGGTACGAATGGCCCACGGTTGCTGGTGGTACTACTTCTCGAAATTCACCGAATTCGCGGACACGATCTTCTTCGTTCTGAGGAAAAAGAACAATCACATCTCGACTCTGCACGTGATCCATCACGGATGCATGCCCATGTCCGTTTGGTTCGGCGTCAAGTTCACTCCTGGTAAGAAGACAACAAGCCTTCCGGATATCGATTAACAGCACGCGCTTCCTCGGTTATTTTTTTCCTACTTCATAATCATTACGGAATACAGTGCTCACTCGTTACGTCTTACTCAGATGTAAAGTAGACACTACATATAGTTTCTATTTAATCCTAAACAGGATTCTTCCCATTCGCGGTAAGTATTAGGTATCTCGGAAAAAACTGATAAACTGTTCGAAGCATACGATAGAATCTGATCGTATGCTTCGAACAGTTAGATTAATCTGAAAATGAGTAAATATTATCGATACTCGAATAAGAGGATTAAAAAATTCAGATACGATTCCGACAGACCTAGCAATTACTCGTACAAAATTAACGAAATATTCCCTTATCGCTGATATGATTAATTCTACTCTAAAAAAATTACAAATACAGTCGACGATTCAGTTCATACTTTGAACGATCTTTCCGAATCGACTTGTTCTCCGCTAACTTCAACATCTTTTTTCCCTCTAACAGGCGGTCACTCGACCTTTTTCGGTCTCCTGAACACGTTCGTCCACATCGTGATGTACTCGTACTACCTTCTGGCTGCTCTCGGCACATGGATCCAGCCGTATCTCTGGTGGAAGAAGTACCTGACCAGCCTGCAGATGGTCCAGTTCGTTCTTGTGATGATCCACGCGTTCCAGCTGTTATTCATCGACTGCAACTACCCGAAGGCGTTCGTCTGGTTGATCGGTTTACACGCCGTAATGTTCTATTTCCTGTTCCGCGACTTCTACGTCGAGGCATACAGGAAGAGAAAAACATCGTTGTCGTTGAAAAAAAAGGAGGCGGAGGCGGCCGCGGCCAGGGAAAAGAGCAGAAAAGAACAGATCGAATCGACGTCAACCGGTGTCGCCGATGCGAAGGAGAACGGCTCGATGTACGCGAACCAGTACAAAATGGCGACCGGTTACATCTCGGACAACGGGCTGAGGAATCGTGTGTTCATCGACAACCGGGGTTTCAAAGAGTAAACTCCCTCGATCCTCCTCCCCCTCCCAGTATCGTGAGGATCAGAAGCGCTCAAGCCGTACAGAGTCCCGAATTCACCGATCGTTTGCTAAATCGGTGACGTCTGTCCGCTGGATTCTTCGTAAAACTTTATCCATACAAACACATCGTGGGTATACAATACGTATGTATATCAAAGATATTTCGTCGAGGACGTCTGGAATGATCGCTCGCGACCAGTCCTGTGGCCCAACGAGAGAGCGTTCCCTATCCTCGAATCTCTCTAGGCCAGCCGACTGGCACGCCGGTTATTATCCTGCACGCAGGATCCGTGCGTACGAAATGACCATTTTCACGCTTTCTGTGCGTGCGTGTGCCTGAGCGTGTGTGTATATGTGTATGCATGTTTGTCCCGTCGTGGATATGAATGTACCAAAATGACCGCGCAAGTTTTAGGGTAAGAACGAGACAAAGAAACGTAGCAAAAGCAGCGAATCACCGTGTCGCTATTTCTTCGAGTAGCATCCGAGTTAAGCCAGATTCATATCAGCGATCAAAGGTACGGTTCGAACACGCTCAATCTGAATTTAGGGTTACGTGTGATTGATAAAGGCCGCTGCCTGATTTTGACGTGATCTGACCGTAGCGTGACAGCTAGTGTGAATTCGGCTTTACAGGGTTCGATGCACATAATCGATACGCGACGTCGTTACGATTTCATTTTCACAAAGATTCCCAGCGTGCGTACGATAATTGATGGTAGCGGCACTGCTATGAAAGAACGACATACACCGTATCGCTGGTGCGTATCGAGTCTTCGAGATAAGAGGATTGGAAAATTTTAATCTTAAGTTCCTCACTTGTAAATTTAGCAGTAGTGTTTCCGATCGATCCGCAAGATCGAGCACGTTACGCCGAGCCAGTGATTCGTTTCGATACGAAACGCTGCACCCTGTACACATACCGATTTTACGAATCTCATCGCAGACACGTCGCCGCGACGTTCCAATTGCTCAAATCACTCGATTAACTCCTGCCCTCGTAACTTCGTTACATCGAGAGAGTTATCTTCCATTGTAATGCGTGATCGCGACGTGGATTCGATGACAGCCAAATTGGTTATCGTAAGGCTAAAGGTTTCATAGACAACGGTTTCAGCCGGAAGACCGAGTTCATCCTTTTCAAATTGTTGTTGTACGTGTTCCATTGATTCTCAAGGGAAATGTAAAACTCCACTGAACGCCCAGATTAATACCGAAAGGAATCACTCCACCCGGGCATTACGGAACAATGGACAAATTACATCCGCGAAGGAATCGTCAACATCGTGTCGATCGTAGACGGAGTCCATTTCGCAGAACTTTCGTAACGTACGAACCACGCCATGGAACGATAAAACCGAAACGTTTGCATACTTGGTCGATTCTTCTGACGCAACACTTTTTTCATCTTTAGAATCATTAATTTTTGTTTAAGGAAAAATTGTTGTTAAACCGTGAGAATGTGTGGAACGTGGTGCCCCCGATTCGAACAAAAGAAAAGAGTTGCATACTCAACGTGATGAGTAACTCACTTTCAACATGTAGAATAAGTGATTTTGTATGATATGGACAACTCGTTGCTGACAAAAAATGTATTTATTTTACGACGAATAAATTGTACTGTGTTTTTAATGAACGTATCTGTTGGATCTTTGTTGTACATAAATTATCAACTGGCCTATAAACTATGGTCCTTAATGCTTGAAGATGATAACTGGAAATTTTTCTAGCAAGGAATGGCATACTGAAATGGTACAGGGGCTTCTGACGCCCCCAAAGCATGGGACTGAAAATTACATTGCATATTATATCTATTCTTATATTTACGAATTTTACATATGCAAATGACCAGCCGTGTTGCCTGTGGTCACAGACGAGATATAGAATAAACTTGCCATGCAATGTATATGTACACATAATTTTCTGTCGCATGCTTCGAAGACTCCAAAGCCACCTTACAGTTTAAGTGTCAATACCCGACGTTACCGATAAAGCATGAATTCTGAGTACAGTAGACGCTCGATAATCGATCATCTCGGGGCTGTAGAGGGACCGAAGAATAGTTGGCGCGGAATATTAGTATTTCTTAACAATTCTTATCTTAAAAAATTGCTTCCAAGTTTTAATCCTCGCATACTAAGTATGCAACACATAAATTTTACAATTCTGCAAATTAGCCCACATTTTAAGCTATGTATGGCCCTAATGTATTATTATGTGATAGATTAGTATACTATTTCTCAGTTTCTCCCTGATTAAATATAAACACAATTTTAATTAGTAATTATTAAAAATTATGTACTCTCAAAGTAATTATCCCTTTCACAAAGTTCTAAATTCATATGCATTCATTAGCATTTTTTAAACTTAATTATACGTATGTTACATACATATTACTAGCTAGAAATTAAAAATCAATTACGTACATGTATCTACGTTCATATTCCAAATTTAAATTTACATCATGCAGTGTCTATTTATTAATAGAATTATTATCTATGATTCCTTCTTATAATATTTCGTAAATAATATAGTATTTCCGACATTGGCCATCATTGACTTATTTCGCCTTTGTCTAATCGTAGATACACGCGCCAAATATAAAAATAACATAAATTGGCATCAGAAAAGCAATGCAGAATATATAACACGTTAAAAATTGCTCATATTATTTCACACTACGATAAGTACAAAGTGATAGCTACGCATGTACCTTTGACCTCCCATGACAGATTGCATTGATCCATTAAAATCATACCATTTATCACGTTACAGAAGAATGTTTTATTCGTTTTCTCGATAAAACACAACGGTATCTTCCATTTTATTGGACAACGCCATATAGTACGGTAGGTAAGTTACAATGACAGAATTATATTATTTTTAATTAATGGAATCAACTGATGATATGATCGTAATGTTAGCGCTCGTAATACAATATAACGTCAACCAATTATGGATATCTCTAAATTAATTACACTCTCAGTTGATTTACTAAGGAAAAATGTAATTAAATATTTTCTATTTCAAGATTTTGAATTTACAAATTTGTAACTTCCTCTTGTTTCATCGGCAATATCGTCGTAGATAATTTAGCATTAAATTTCTTGGTATCCAGAAAATCTATCTATTTTTCAAAGTTAGCACATTTTCAACTAGATCTTTGTTCCGTAAAACTTTCTCTGCGTTGCGTAAATAGGTGAATCGCATAATAACTGCGTTTGTATTGAACCGGAAGCCTAATGCCGCTACACCGTGCGCCCCATTGAAAGTAAGCACATAAGTAACGACACAATGTAATATGTACCTAAATAGACTGCGGACATTTATAGATACACTGTGCCAATTTAAACACTCTATGATTTACAGTTTTCTAACCGCACGTTGGGTTACAAATAAAAGAATCTAAATTTGCTGTAAAGAAACTAAAATTTGTTAATCATCGATTATTTGACCATATAAGAAAACTTGTTTATTTTGTCAACTCGTTATCGAAAGACAAACTGCACCCGTTTAACAAGAGGGCACCAAGCTCGGAACAAATAATAAAGAAAAACAAAAGAGGGAGACCGATTAAAAAGAGGAATTTGATATTGGCGCGCGGCCTGCGCACAGCTAAAATCAATGAGTCCACCCGGCGAATGTGTCAGTGCGTCTCCACCGACGTCGCAACCGCAACGAAGCCGCTGTGCCGCTGTCGGTCTTCCCTAATTGTCTTCTGGTTCTCCTCGTCTTTCTCCTGAAAGTTCGTGTTAGCGTATGATAAAAAAACATGTAAGATTAGGGAAATTGCAATGCCGAGTCAGGAAGACATGGACCTTTGTACCGATAAGGTACTGTCCAAGGGAAGAATTCTTCAGGAACTGACGAAAGCTGTCAAATTGGTGAGTAGCTGTATGCTCGAGCACGGGATGGCGTACCAAGGCCATATGTCATCTATATACATACGTCTACATGAACTTTCGTATCGTTGATTTAAACTTTTGAACCTATAAATCTGAGGACCTCCGTGAACTGTTTCCCAAATTTCTATAACCACGACCGTCTTCTGTCTTCAGTCAATTTTGCTTTGGCTTTTTTTCTCGTTTCACGAAATACTTAACCATAACGGAGCAGTTAAAATCAAAGCTACACGCACACAAGCGCCTTACTGCGTCAGTTTAACACGACTTGACGCGTTTTTATCGTGTTTCTTGTTTTCAAAAGTGAGTAGGTACATATGTTCCTATCGTCACTACAGTTACTCGACTTTGTACGCGACTTCTTTGACGTTGTCGTGATCCATGTCGTGGTTTCTCCTGCAACGTAACTGTGTCTTCACCTGTTTGTTCTGCTACCTGTCACACACAACCGTGACATTTCGTACGCTACTCTTTGAGATCCATGCAGATCGATGAATCCGTTTCGTCACTTCGCGAACTATTTTGCGTTTCGTTCCTGGAATAATCCGACTAAATTGTTTTCGTTATCTTCTTATATACGCAGTTTTCTTTCCATTACTCCGCGCAGCTTGTTTAATCTTTGTTTTTCGTGTAATTTGTACTCTATTTGCAATGACAGTGGAAACTCAAGAGATCGTTAATCACATGTAAAAGTTTTTATTATGTTATGGTGGAATAGTGTAAAAATGATTAACATTTACTGATTTTAGTGGTAAATAAAAAGACAGTTTTATCTTTTATCAGGTATATGCTCAGAGCTTATATGGAACAGTAGTCTTGGATGGCGATTCTTGGTTGGTCTACTGGTTAGATCGAGCCTTGCGTCATGGACTACGTATAGAACGACATGGATATTGGGGGACTGCTCGTGAACTCAGCCATCAAGACACTGTTGTTGTAATACATGCTCTTCAAGGTGTTTTAACTTCCATTGGGAAAGGTGTGTATAACTAGAAAAAGAAGTAGCAACCAGGCACACTTAAATCTAATGTCTCAATATCTTGAAGATTCAATTGCTAAAAACTATGTATCTTATAGGTCGAGCGTGGCTTTACCATACTCTTAGCGAGGGCAGCTTTGAAAGTTATTTAGCCTGTTTGTTGCGAGATGCAAAAACATTGAAAAAGCAGTATTTTCCCCATGCACTTGTTCGGGATGCTGATAAAACCAACCAGTTAGTTAATCTTCTTGCTGGTCTGGAAAATGTATCCTTCACATTACAACTGGTATGCAATTCAATCTTATCTTACCCAAGCAATTAAAATGATTTTTCTTCCATGATATATTATTCCTAATTACTTTTTAAATGAGTTTATTTTCATTGAGTTTTAAGTATGTTTAACATATTTTTCTCAAATTTCTCTATTTTATTGTACTACAATGGTTCATTGGTATTCCTTGACAAGATGTATTAAATAAAGTTTCTTCGGAAAGTACAGATATATTCATACTGTACCCACCAAGCATCTGTTCTTTTCTGTTTTGGTCTTATAGGATTATAATAAAAGCCAATGACCATATCAGTGTGTAGTCGTCAGCATTTTACATTCATGTGTTCTTGTAGTTATTACTTCATTTCCCCTGTAGTGATATGAATATCACCCCCTGGTTACAATTATCTCAATGATAAATAATGTCTGTCATTTAGCATGTCAAGATGAATTTGTTTTTATAAATTTAAGGGGCAATAAGTTATCACTTATGTACACCTATTTTTCATTCACTGTGTATCACCTTCATTATTTGTTCATGGAAAATTCTTTGTATTTATATGTTTATCTAACAACTAGTATACAATGTATAGCATTTACACTCTTTTTATCTACTTCTCATTAATCAAGCCATGACAGTACTTTCATGCATTTAGTAAATGCTTATAAATTATGAAATTTATATCGAAAGAATGAATTTTAATCTAAGGATTATTTTCCATTTAGGATGTAACATACCTGGATACCTGCAATTATATGCCTCAGAGGCCTATGAGTGTGAACCCTTCTGGAACCATTTTATCGTTACATCTTCGGTCATCTAGTGTATCCTCGAGTCTAGCTTCACCCGGTGACAGTGGAGTTGCTTTCGACAGCGATATGGATCTTGCAAATGAGACAGATGCCAGTAGTTACAAAGAGGTGAATTTTTAGAAAAAAATCCATCTTGAAAATTTAATTTCTTTTGTATAACTCACGGATTTATTAACATTTTTAGGAAGACTTTAATTTGGAAGAAATTCCAAAGTACCGGAATAATAGATACAAAACAATAATGAACAATTGTATGGAAGACAATAAAAACTTTAGCTCTAGCGATTCCAGTGAAGATGGAAAGACACCGACACAGTCACCCGGAATGATTACTAAATTTCAAACTGCGGCAGTAACATCAAGTGATATAGCAAACCAGAACTTAACTAGAAAACTTGACGACAATGAGCTTAATTGTTCCAGTTTGGACACCTTGAAAGATTATGATTTTTATAGCAAGAGTTTAGATGAGTCTAAATTAGATAAGATAAATAACAAAATCGATAACGGTGTCAACGAATTAAACAAAAGAAGTAGCTATTATAGCGACGGTAGTTACAGCTTCAAGAGAAATGTTGATCCTCGAAATTCGTATGTGATCAACAACGATACGAACCTATTGGAGCTTAGTATGACCATTTCTGATTGCGAGAACATGGAAACACCCTACGGTATTCTGAATACCATTAATATGACGGACACTAGTATTTTGTCGTCTTCCAGCTCAGAGGCTCTGGTGCAACGTAGGCAACGCAAGAAAAAGCGGGGGGAAAGTAAAAAACGAGTTAGCTTTCACGAAGATATCCTAAAAACCATGAAATTGGACGACGATGAAAACTACGCCGACTTCTCTATGAGTTTCTTAACGCCTAATTCGGTTCAAAAGAAGGACGCTCAGAAAGGAAGATACAGCTGGTGCGCAAACGGAGATTCCCCTTACGTTCAGAAAAATGTTAACACAAGAAACGCGCACTCCGATTATTATTCGTACTCTTCGTCGTCCAGCGTTTTCGATAGTGACAGCGAGAGGAAAGCATCGTCAAAGACGTGTAGACAATCGTTATGCCAGAACAGTTGTAAATGCGCTTGTGAACTGTCGATCACGGAACGTGGCGTACCGGAAGGTCAGGAAGATCCTGGAAAAACGTTGAGGCCAAAATTGGAAATCGAACTGGAGGAAAACGAAGCGCAAGAAGCATATATAGTTGAGAAAAATTATGGGAACATAGTCGAGGATCCTCCAGCGAAAGTTGAAATGCCTTGCCCTTCGAATTCCAAGAAATATACTAGTTCCAGCGACTGGTCAGATGTAGATAATGTCACCGCTGCGGATTTAGACGAACGTAGGAGTAGCAGACATTTAGCTTCACCGTCGAAAAAACGTAACATGACGTCGATATTGACCGGTGAAAATAGTAATAAATTGGCACCACCGCCACTGAGGCAGGCACCGTCAAAAACTTCGTTGCTGAGTAGATTCTTGAAATCTATTACCGAAAGAAAATTCGAGATTAAGAGAAACAAAAAATCACAAAAGACAAATCCATTATACATCAAAGGCGTGAAAACTAGCTACGATTCGTTCAAAGATTTTAACGACAATCTTGATCGAGAGATACAGGAGAATGTGGCCGCAGGGAAGCAAGAATTCAGTGGAGAAAAGGTTAGCTTGAAATTACGAGAACTATTTAAGAAATATATTTACAGGGACAAAACGGAAGAACTGTACAAAGTATACAAGGTTAGAAGTTCATACATGACAAACGGCGATAGTAAACCAATGATCGCTTTGCTGACGGACAAAACATTATACTTAACGGGTTCGAAGCCCGACCACACTTACAGTAATCAATTCGTTATTCCTTATAACGAGTTGGATGTTATTATGGTGAGTTTCACTTGAATAATAACGTTTTGTAGATTATCGAACTAGTAAAAAAAATTGTTTTGTTTTTTTTTTAGATCGGACCAAATGCACAAACGATATTATTATCCAATGCGGATTATGAGATGCAATATCTTTTTTCTACTGGAAGTTCCCAAACTACATCGGAATTAATTGCCCACTTGGAAATGGCTATGAGAAGATCTCCATCAAAGCCACGCCTTCCAGCGGTTAAAGAATTGAGCTATGAAGACATGCATATTTTAAAACACTCGATTCTATGTGACACCGCTGTGCATCCCGTATGTAAACGAAAAATAGAAGTACCTATTGGTAATACATCCCTGAAATTCATAGCTAACAATCCAAAATTATAGGATGAGAAAATCGAACATTACAATCTTATTTATATGGAAGACGAACACATGTCACCTCCTAGTACACCTTGTGGTCCGACTAAGGAAGGTGATCTCATGTACAGACCACACACTTATCAACACCTTTATCCGAATGCACCGACTAATCCATGGGAGGCTGGTTACTTCGTCCTAAAAGGTGGTGTCGTTTATATGTTCACCGACGCAAGTCAAAGGCTTCCGAAACGAGCGATTCCATTAAAAGGCGGTCTCTGTCAAGGATGTCGAAGAATCCCAAATTCTCATCGTCCGCACACCTTCGAGATCCTTTTGAAACCGAACAAAGCTTTTCAATTTGCTGCCCCAGACGAATACGTTGCCTCCGAATGGTTGCAAAGTTTTGTTCAAAGCGCGTCAGGATTGTTCGACGCATCAGAGAGGAGAGAGCCTTTGCCATGTAGCCTTATTACGACTACCAAGCACTTAGTCGCTATGAAAGAAGTATTCCCTGGTAAGCAACGTGGAGAAACTCTTTCCTGTGCTTCTGTGGAAGATCTGACTGCATTCAGAGTACCTTTAACTCAACAGTCTTGGTGTATACTGGTAAGTAATTGGACAAATGTAAATATCGTGAGTTTCTATAATGTAAATTCTTTCTTTCTGTCATAAAGGAATTTGCGTGTCGAGAAGTCCATGAAAGTAGCGGCGATTGGGTAATATATTTCACAAACTATACTGAATTATGCACCTTCAGAGAAATTTTGGAAACACTGTGGGCTGATGCAAGTCTGGTAGGTAGTCATGTTAAACATCCAAATTTCCGACTCCTTTTTCTTGTGCTAATCATCGTATATAGCGTTAAATAGCATCAATCTATATATTTTCAGGGTGAATTTCCTATGGTGACGCTACCGCCGGAAGACAAGCTTCACCGACGTTGCTCGGATGCTAGTAAAGAACTAGAGCTTGCATGGCGATATTTGCTACCTTCAGAAATTGATTAAACGACGAAGTATATCAATAGACAATAGTATTGGTATTGTCGTATTCAGTAATAGACACACATGAAACATAAATATTGGCGCTCGTATTCAGAGAATGTCACGGTATATAGCGATACGATAAAAAAATGCAACGGTGAAGTAATTTACTAAGCATGGACATAACAAACGTTTGACTCTCCCCGAAATCAATGTATTGTGTTCCTCTGTATCGGCAAGGAGTGGTGAACGTGACGGAATCATACAACTATAGATATTTAGCAGTACATAATATTAATGTGCTAATTCAATAAAAAGGTGCAATATCTTTTTAATAACGTAAGTCACCTTGATAATCTATCATTGAAATAGAATTGTAACATAACGGTGAGCGCGTAAGATCATTCTACCAGTTATATCGATGTCTATGTATTCACATTTATTATAAGAACTAATCTGCATTTAAGGATGCACTATTGATATTGAATGACTTATTCTGATGAAATGCCAATAAATGGCAGTAAGACTTAGAGCAGCTTTGACAACAAAGACTATTCTATAAATTGCTTTCGAAGTAAATGTATGACGTATAATTAACATTCCTAATACATAGTAATACCGATGATAATATCAATTATTACGATAACACAGCTTTTTAACTTTATTTTTAATATCCTTTTTTTTTTCTATATACGAGTGCTCTATCGCTTTAAAATTTCAGATTTTAGTTAGAATAATATATATATATGTATATTTTGTTTTCGATTGTACAGCCACGAAAACAATTATGGATATCATTATATCGACGTTAAGGTGCTTTTATTTATTAACTCGATAATTAAATTGACGATTCCATAACTTGTTTCTTTATATACCATTATTGAAAATATTGTTAAAGTAAATATATCCAAGGAGGTAGGATGGCGTACTTTCATTGCGTTAAATGACATGCTTATCCTTAAATATCAATTGTACGTTTTTAGACGAAAGGAACATACGATTTTGTGCGCCAAAGAGGTTTCTTTTAATGTGCGAATTAATTTATAGTGTTCAAATAATTACGTATATTTTCCTTTTTTTAAGGTCATCATACTTCACGTTACTAAAACTACATGATTGGATGCATTTTATAAATCACTGTGAATAAAACTGTAATATTATGTGCATCGTTTCATGTAGTCGTACATAATTGTAGTAAATCATTTAAGCGATAAAATGTTAAATTAACGGAATTTACTTATTTATATAACTATAATATGAAATTTGTGTAAATTACACGATAAAAAATCAGAAACATAATCAGTTTCCCATATTAATTTTTAGCGCGTTAAAGGGGTCTAAATATACTTTTTACATGCTGCCTTTAAGCATGTTTCTTAAACAGTATGGCTACAAAATTTTTGCACAAGACCGCCGTACTACGACCTTCAAAGTCGTAAGAAAATGAATAAAAATAAAGTTATCACTAGTCAACAAAACAGCTGAATACGTCTCATAGTTCCCTATTGTACTGCAATGTTCTATTCATTTTATTTTCAATTACATTTTCAAGCTGTAATGATACTTTAGATTTCTTATTTGCTTTTATCGTTACAACTAATAATTGACCATTGCGACCATACTACAATATCTTTAATTCATAATTGACCTGACAAGATTAACCATACCTTATATACCCACGGTGACCAAACTGCGTCTCACGAGCCGCACACGGCTCTTTTAGTTCTGCAGCTTCCATACACTTGTACAATATTTTTTTTTTATAAACTTGTCACATACATACTACATATACGTGTGTAATATATTTTTGTAAGTTTACTGACTTTAATTAGGCAGTGTTGCATACATATACAGATTGTAAGCGTAACTCAGAATGTAATACCATTCCAATAGAGTAGAGGATGCGGCACTATCGTATTACTAATGGACGATATTACATGGCTCCTACCCTAATAAGGTTTGGTCACCACTACTATATACTATCTATTAAACGTTCATTAAAACATTTATGTATAATGTACAATCATTATGTTTTCTAAAACACCAGTTTATAGCCATACTTAACAAATGTTTAAATAATTCAGATTTACAAATGAATAAAATATGAAACAAAGATAACAAATAAATGGTATATTTAATTAAGATTGATGACAAAGAAATATTTACAATAACATTGATGCATTTATCATAAAAGTATAGTTTGCAATAATTCTTAAGATACATTTTATGCACAAAAAAAAAAAAGAGTACTTTCATCTATTTTGAATTTAAATACTTCGGTTAAAGATGAATGGAATTACAATGCCCAAGGAAAATGCACTTATTTGCGTGTAAAATGGCCAATTGCCCGTTTCCAGGATTTTACTTTCTCTATGTCTGCCAATGGATATTTTTCTTTTACAGCCTCAAGATCCAGATTGGGGAATGTTCGCATCATACGTGCCACTTCATTGTTCTGCACACTAGAATTTAAAAGATTTTGAAGATCATCTTCAGTTAAGTGACAAAATGATACTCAAATTAAATGATAAAATATAAAATGTTAATAACTTGTATGTGTAACATTTCGCCTTCCAAAGTTTCTCCTTGTAAAGTCGTTGGAATTTACGTACTGCATAACCATTGTAACCGAACATATGTGTCTTTTTCCATGATGTATTCATAAATTTTGGTATCACATGTTGTCTCATTCGATAAAAGAAGCGCATACCTGTGATATGGAATACAAACAGAGAGATTATGATGCAGCACTCACTTTTCTTCTTATAGCAGAAATGAAAAGGATATCAAATGTACCAAGGATAGTCCATGTTAATTTTGCAGGTCGTTCACCAGACCTTCCAGTTTCAAGCAAATGATATGCTCTATTTCTTTCACGAACAACTGATTCTAAATTAGACATACTGTCTTCAACTTTATCAATCCTTTCAGGATTGGGGAAATACTCCATCTTTTGCTTGTAGGCTTCTTCCATTGTTAGAAGCATATTTCGTTCTTTCAATAAGACAAACCTAAATAATTCAAATAATATTGTATATAGTTATGGTACCTCACATTTTATTGTATTTTATGTCTTATTTACCATAACTTGTGAAGATCTTCATTGCTTTTTTGTCTTAATTCATCTGTTCTCCAAGAACGTCCTACTTTAACTTCTTTCTGTCCCCAATTTTTCTTATCATCAAAGAATTCCATCAAATCATTTTGTTTAGACGTAGTATGTATGAGAACACATTGAAAGCTTGGTATCCTGTAATATTATTGATACTTATTTGATTTCTTATAATTAAACTGCAGATATTATGCATTTGTAAGGAACTTGAAAATTCAAACACGCTGAATTGAAAAACTTAACAAGAATGAATAATGTTTTAATTTTATTTTTAATGGAGTAATCCTCTTAACTGATAAAATAACCTTTTTGGGTCTTGTTTCTACAAAATAGTCTATGTAGGTAGTTATATGCATAAACATCTGGTATCTCATATGAACATGCAGTCTTAAATACTGTAAAAAATTAGTTTAAAAGCATAAGATAAACCATGTCCATTTTTTCACGAACATGATGTCAACAAAACAACCGTTTTTGGAAACGATTACTAAGTTCTGAAAAAAGGTGAAAAATTAATTGAATAAACTTTCTACGTATTTTAATTGATATCTAGAAGAATATCCCACAAAGTGCATAATCACAAAATATTGAAGTTATAAACAATAAAAAAGTTAACATAAAAATAAGTAATAGACCTTTGAGTATGTATCGGTGTGGCGATTGAATGTATATTTGATGTCAAAGACAAATTTGTTAATAACTTCGTTACATTATTTACACTTTTAGAAATTTGTATGGCTTTCGTGAAGGCTGCCATTTTGCTTTTATAGAAGTTAGGTATCAAGTAAATAGCATCTGTACGTTCGATATAGTAAGAGACCCCGAGTGTATAAAAAAGTAGGGCCATAGGACCCCGGTAGCATCGCAAGAGACCGTGTGTGTGAGCACCTGGGGTCATGGAACCCCTGGTGGAGACGCCAGAGACCCCGTATGTATAAGGAGCTGGGGTCATAGAACCCCGGCGGAGACGCCAGAAACCCCATGTGGTGACAACGTGGGGTCACAGAACCCCTACCTGTGGCGCCACCGACCCCGCGTGGCGAGAGGGCGTGGTCACAGAACCCCCACATGTGGCGCCACAGACCCACGTGTGGTGAAATCGGGGGTCACAGAACCCCAACAGGTGGCGCCAGAGACCCGTGTGGTGAGGTGTGGGGTCATAGAACCCCCAAAGGTAGCGCCATTTGGGACTGACGCTTGCGCGTGTTCCCGTGAGAAAATCATATAGTATGGTAACCCCAGCAACCATGGCAGTTTCTGCAGATACTACTACAGCCCAAGTTTAAAAGACGTAGGCAGTAGTTAGTTTCTGTAGTAACCTGTTGAACCAGACAACTATAATTAGTATAGGATTGTACAATATTTATGCAGTTATATTTAAGACAATTTGATGAAATGAAGCTTATATTACCTGACGTATGTTTATTGGAATATACATATATACATATAAATTATAATGATATAAAAGTTTGAAATACAATACGATGCGCTACGTTACAATACGTCTATTCGATTCAATTGCTCCCTTGTGACTACAACATCATGCTATCCGCGTTCGGCGCAGTGCGCTAATACGAAGGCCAACGAAATATAGCTGTAACACTTAAAAAAGTTTTACAGTTCCATTTACATCATTGTCCTGTGAAAATGTTCATACTTCCATTAGCATTCATATTCCAATCAATGAATTTACAGAATAAGGAAAAGGAATCTAAAGTAATTTTCAGTAGTTCCATACATCTTTATCTCGAA